GTTTTTTGTATTTTTCTGCCCACTCAAGGGCCTCTCTGTAATTTATCAAAGATTAACACCTTAATAAAATGTTTAGAGTGTTAGAGTGAGGTTAAGTTCGAAACTCTCACTCTCACTCTCTAACACTCATTGCCGCCAGCTCTCTCTCTTCTCTTCCTCTCTTGTTTGTTTAGTTTCTGTTTTGCATTTAATCTCAAACAGTTCCATACATCAAGTGAACTGTTTTCAACTGTTGTGAACTAGGCATTGGGTAGCTTTACATGCTTGACATAAATTTAGAGATAAACAACACTTACTCCCATCCGAATTGTATTCTAAAATGAAAGTCTGAAGTGCATAGTCTGCAGTAGCATTAGTTCATTTGACTAACAAAATTTAAAACTTCACAAGGTGTATGGAATAACACAAATTAACATGTTGACCAAAGGGAAGCATCTCACTTTTAAGTGTTCATGTGCTTCTTTAACAGTCTTCCCATCCTTTTTCTTCTTCCAGTTGTGCCCATCTTTCCGAAAGTTCCTCAACATTTTTCGGTCAAACAAGACAATTGTGCCACCTGGGTGAAATTCCAAAAGCAAAAGTCAGAACAATAAAAGCATTATAAAAAAATGCTTTTGTTGAAAAGCAGTAATAAACTGCATAATTTCCAGACCTCAAAATGTCATTTTAATCCACCTTAAAAAGCAAGGAACAAGAATCACAAGATCATTTCCATTACCAAAAGCACATACACAGCAGTTATTTCCTGACACATAAAAGAAACAGCAACTTCACAGAACATTGCATTCAAAAGAAAACCTTTAGATTTTTGTTCTCAATCCTCTGATCATTAGCACTGATTTCATCATGTTTACTTGTGAGTGGAATGAAGAAGGAGATTGAGAATGAATATTCCAGGCTGACACACTAAAAAGGAATAGCATGACAGAACTTACATAGAACAGTTGAGATAAGGGCATAAGGCTTTGTTGAACTGAGTTGAGGTCGAAAGAAGCAATATGTTGTAAGATCAGTACGTGAGGAAGAATCATCCTTGTGAGAGGGCATGCAGATTCCATGACCACATAGATTTTACACCTCAAAGTTAGCTATAATTTCATCAATCTGTCGGTTAGGTTACTTAAACATCTGATGCCAAAATTTCTATGGTATAGGATTTATGAGTTTGTTAATAGAGTACGATTATTGAAGTGCTTGTGGTTCATTATGTGAAGTTCTGTTTTAATGAGTTGGGTTTTCATGTGTGCAGTTTGTGGGTGGGGGAAGGGAGAGAGAGAGGGGTGGCTTCTTTTCTTGGTTTGACCATGACAAAAAGAGGTGGCTTCTTTTTCTTCTAACCAAATTGTACTGAATCATGAAGGAAATACCAATTTCTATCTTCTTCTCCTTTATTAGAGATGAAAGCTTTAATTATTCCCACACAATAAGACACTTTAAGTTCATTTTACACCAATTTCAGTATAAATGCAAAAAGGTAGTTAAAATTGTGTCACAGATTTTTTCAAGTATGTTATGGATCGCTTAGTCTACACAGGTAGTATTGGAGACCAGTTATCTGGTAGGATAACAAATGGAGATTCCACACTCAATCAAAATATCATAAGAAAAAAAAGCAAAAGAGAAGGGTTGTACAAGGATTTTCTTTTAGAAATAGTAAAGTATTGTATTAAAATGTAAAGGATTCATGGTATAAGCATAACCTTTACATTATTATATAATCAAAAACATTATTGAAGTTCTTTTTTTTTATGAATATCAAAGTTCTTTACACAAAAATACAGATTTCAGGATAAAGAAAAATATTTAAGAAGGCTATATTACTCTGGGGCAAGTTGACTGGCTTGACACTGACAGGGAAATACATGTAGTTACAGAGTATGGCATGAATTTCATTTGGACGCAACCATCTCGTCCCGGCTTCCTCCATTATAGTTGGGACATCCAAATCTGCATAGTCAGGGAAGCAAAGAATTATTAAACATCACGATTTGAGATTACATGAATCCAAGATAATACCTGCTTATCAAAGTTAGATCTATATTGAAGATGCATTACCAAGCAATGATTTATAAAAGGATGAAGAAAAGAAATTAGACTTGAGATGACAAGAAGAACCAAACAAAGTGCTTCTTCAAGGAAATTAAAAAAAAAAAAAAAAAGATAAAGCAACTCACATGAATTCACAAACAACTCAAGTGGTGGAGGTGGACTAGAGGTTCTCAAATAAACGTTTAACTTAAAAGCTTAAGCTGTTAGGTGAGATTCCTGAACAGGTTTTTATTCTACACCCCCTGGGCTTGAAGCATGGAGAAGCACAGCCACAGGCCCACCCGTACCTTGTGCTGAAATTTAATTAATTATAATGGGGATGGCAAGGATTGAACACTAGACTATATGGTCAAACAGCCTCTCATACCATCTCAAAGAACCATTCAACTTAAAAGCTTAAGCTCTTAGGTGAGGTTCCTGAATAGGTTTTTATTCTCTGACAGAGATGCTATACTTCGTTGAGGATCTATTGAAGGGAGAAACCAAATAAAATCCGGTATTGAAGAAAAAAAACTTTACGTCAGTGAACAGCCAATGGCACTAAACATAGATCAATCATAAAGAGCAAAATATAACACACATTTGGGAACAACCAATTCAAATTGAAATATACTTTATGGACGAAACTATCAAAAAGGAGCATTAACATAATACAGTCTGAACCCATCAGTGCTACTCTCATCTCTATAATGCATGAATCCAAGCTAAACCCGATAGGTTAAAGGAAAATAAGACCAAAATACAAACTCGATTACTGCTTTCCCATGGAAAAAAAAAAAAAAAAGCAATCCAAGAAACACCACAGAAATAAACAAGAAACTCATCCCAAATTAATCAAGTCCAAACAGAAAGAAATAGAGACAAAAAGAGAAAGATAGATCCAAAGAAGAGAAACCTGAGATTTTTACCTTCCATTGTATGAAACCCATGAATTTCTGACCCTGAAAGTCGGCCGCAGGCACTGCCGTCCATCGCGGATGCCTCTTCAACCTTTAAGAAACCTAACTATCAGAGCTCTCAAACAGAACTCTACAGAACTTTGTATTTATATGTAGGTATACAGGTTACAACCGATTGATAAGAATACATCTCTGATTCCGGTAACAAAAGAGTCCTAATATCATCTGAAGTCTTCATCATTGATGTCCTTCATGGAACTATGTTTATCATCTGCAGAGTAATCAGCAATACTCGTAATACACACAATTCGTTGTAGCTTCAATTCAAAAGAAACAATTCCAAGAAGCTTGAAAACTTAGAAGAAACCAGTGAATAAGCATGTACGAAGCAGAACTCCAAAGATAGTTTCGTACCTACGACATGAAGGTCCATCAAAAGGTTAGACCAAAGAGGCGTACCCGGTCAAAGACGAAACCAAGAAACTCTCTCTCTCTCTCTCTCTCTCTCTGTGTTTAGGCTTGAATTCGACCGGGAATTTCTTTTCAGTTTCTTTTTTCTTTTTTCTGCAGACAGGTCTTCGCCGTCTTCACAGTTCAGATCGGACGTCGGATAGCTCTAATAGAATGTCTAAACTAAACAAAAAAGAACGGGAACGTTTGGTGAAATATCTTTCTGACGACTTTGACCTCTGAAAATGTTCGAAGATTAAGATTTGCCTTTATGCAATAACACTATAACAGGGATAAAATGATCATTTACCGTGCCGCTGGAGCTTAACAAAAAACAAACTTGAACTCGACCGTTGATAGAGCATGTTGCATTTATAATTAATACCTAAATTTGGGTTGGGCCCACGGCCATCGCCATCTCTTAATAGTTCATCCAAACCGGTAAGTGGGGCCTTTCATTTATGTATCTTGAGCTGATAGTTACAGCCTACAGGTTATGTGAACTTATTAACGTGTTTTCCAAATATTCACATTCATTTGCCACGTGGAAGTTATGACATGGCCAGTCCAAGTTATCAAGTGCTATGAACCAATCTTGTGACGAGGAAATACAATTAAAGGATAAAAATATAAGTTGACATTATAAAATCATTTTAATTTTTACAACCAACACCAAATGCAAGTATAGATTAAAGTAAATAATAGTATAAATAAACATTCAGTCCTTACAAATACCTTTCAAAATAAAGTTTCATATTTTCACTATTGTCATTATGATCCTTTAAGGCCTTGTCTGTTTGTTGGTATTTAGTGGGGCAATATCTCTCTCTCATCTCTCTACCTAGATAATTTATATTACCTAGGTAATTTATATCACACATGAACACTATGGAACTTATTTGAGCAAGTGTTCTCTCTCAACTATATAGGATTGGTTACATGAATTTTAATTCAAAGGGTTAGGGTAGGGGTTTTAACGATGCAAATAATTTTGCTTTTTATAATGAAAATATCAGAAAAATGTATTGTTTTTTGCTGACATGGCAATTATTTTTGTTTTAAAAAACAAAATATTCACTTTGTTGAGCACTCCCCTAAATCTTAATTTTTCTAACTCAAATAAAAGCTAACTAAATGTTTTTAAACTTATAATGTGAATAGTAAATCTCAAACAATGTCAATATAAAAGAAAGGAAAAATTGCAAATCAATATTTTATACTTTTGGGCTAGTCTCACTTTGGTCCCCAAACTTTAAAACATATTAATTTAGTAACCAAAATTTCAAAACATGCTAATTAGTACCTATTGTTAACCAACTGCCGGTTATGTGTATCATGTGACATAATGTGCAACTTAAATATTTACAAAATGGCAAAGCTGCCTTTTATAATAATTTTGAGTACAACATTATTTGGACAATTTTTCAGCGATATTTCCTTTTTTAGTATCATATTCCGCATTTTAGAACGAGCACTAAGAACTGGTTTATAAAGAATATTAGATGACACCGAATGACATTTATGTCCTTTTACACACCATTTAATGGCTGGTTATTGGTAGGCAACTAGTTGATGGTAGGCACTAAATTGATACATTTTGAAAATTTAAATAACGAATTGACATATTTTAAAGTTCAAGGACCAAAATGAGATTAAACTCAAAATATAGGATACTAATATGCAATTTTCCAATAACAAAAGAAGTAAACCGTGTGCAACTCATATGATAATGCTAATGATGGACGGAAAAAGATAAAAGATCAGGTATGTTTAGATTTTTATGTGTGCGCTCTTCTTTCCATCGGGTATATGCTTTATATACACCAATCATAGCCTTGTTGGATGAGATAAAAAGTTGCATCTTCTATTTTAAAGACAATTTTGACCATTCCATTTGGGGTTATTATACTTGGTTTATTTCTTTAAAAGACAAAATTGACCACGGTCACATAACTTACTTGCAACCCCCAATCAAGCATGGACAGATTTGCCCTTTATTAAAATTCAAAATATATTGTGATCTATTTCTGTATTCCTGTATATCACTTGAGTTGTGTTGTTCACTTTCAAGTGAGAATATATGGCAAAGGAAGCAAGGTGAACTCTATTTTTGATTATCTTCTCCTCATTCAAATTTGGCCTGATGAAACCAATATTGTTATTTTTTTTAACTTTTTTTATTTGACTGATCGTGGATATCCATGCTGTTATTATTACATGAATAATTTTTTCTTATTGCTGGTTCAAAATAAATCAAAATCATTTGTTTTTGAAAACATATAAAACAAGAACACAAAAAAAAAACATGTTTTTGAATTTTGATTGTGGATGTACTTTTTGTTTTTAAAACTGAAACCAAAACCATGCTTTTGAATTTTTGGTTTTAAAAACATGTTTTTATCTGGCATGTTCTATGAATCATATATTTCTAAATTTGTAATTTTATTTTAAAAAATATTGTTTTGTTGGTTCATGAAGCATGTATTATGTATATTATCGTTTTTAAAACTGGATCAGACCAAACGATCGGACTAAAAAAACCGGATTCCAGTTTTCCCCAAAACCGAATTTTCCATAAAAACCGTTGATTTTGATCAATAAACTGCTGACGCTCACCAACTCGACTACCCCTCGGCCACGTTTGAGCTCTCAAGAGAGCATCATTTATCCACAAAGTCTGAATACTACTCCTTCGGTCCTTCCAACCAACCCACCAGCAGCGCTTTACTGCCAAGTCCTTTTCTTTGGAGACGACTAAACACAATATTTCTGTCTGACATCGCTTTTGCTCGGTCGCCTTCGAATTTACACTGATATGATAAGATGGGATACAATCGAACATAATGCCCCCCCGCCACCCTTTCTCCCGTCCGCATACTGTTCGAACAGCCTTTGCGGCGCCTTGAATCGGAAATATTTCCGTATTTCTGTGCTTTGTGCTTTATTTGATGGGGAAATATTTTCAATGGTTTTGCATTAATTGAATTCGATTTCCTCACATGTGGTATGCGCATAACGGAGGAACTAGCGACCGCTGGTTTGTGCATGAGGACGTTGAAAGCAGAAACAGTGACAACAAAACTGTGGGTCGGAGCCAGCGTTGTAAGCATATGGCTCAGTAGATCACACAGATTTTGATTTTAAAGACAATGGTTAATGGACAGGAAAAGTATAAATTATTAAAATAATTCACTCCTTGATGATTTGGCATGACGTAGTAAGAAGGGGATACGTAAACGTGATCTGCGCGATGGGTGATAACTCAGCCAAACAAACCCGGCCTGTAGCATTCAAAGCTCAGATGTTCAGCCACCTTCGCCCAAAAACCACCCCGGCGTAGAGACACCTCGACATCCAATCCGGTTCGGGACTAAAGAACCGAAGTACTAGTTTGGAGTTAAAGAGCCGAAATGCCATATAATCGACTCAAAAAGCCTCCCCGATGGACCCCAAATTTCTCGGATCACGACGAGACTCATCCTAGCTCTGCCTGAATCGGAGGTAGACGATAAACCTTATCAACACATTGCTCTCCTTAAAAAACGGAATAAATCTTATCCGCACAGACCGGAGATCCCAGAGCTCTTTCGTAAGGCCCATGACTACTCCATTATATAAGGACATAAAACCTCAAGGCAAAGGTACGCGTGATTATTTTACTCACTAGCATTCAAGAACTCAAGTATTCAACTCGCATCCACAGTATAGTACTGACTTAAGCATCGGAGCGACCTCGCTGGGTTAGCTACCCCGGGTTCTCTGATCTACTATTTTGCAGATTGATCCAGCTCGCCGTGCAACTGGAGTTCGGGTCGTCTTCTAGCTAGGAGTATCTATATTGCACACCATCAATTGGCACCGTCTGTGGTAACAATCGAAAGGTTATCCCAACTTTAGTTGCGATTTTATTTTTCAAATTATCCCAATGGACTCTTCCAGCAGCACCGGAAAAAGTGTCGAGATGAACGTCACTGGGGGGCAAGATCAACAATCAACCTTCCCCCAAGGTCCTATGGTATGCATTGGCTAGTTTACTATTCCTCTTACAGTGTCAGGAGTCCCGTCACTGCCCGTACCGCAGGGCACTACGCAAGTGAGCGTCTCGCTTCCCCCAGTGGGCACAACTTTCTCCGAGCCAGTTGTGGTCCCTCCTAGAATTGGGCACTCCCAATTCCATGACCTCGTTCAATGCGTCCGGACAATACAGATCCACATGCAGTAGGTCCAACAATTCCAACAGTATCAATAGTACTATCTATACCAGCAGTATCAACAGCAGTTCCCACCACTATAGCCGAACCAGCAGCCGATTCCACCTCGGCACCCAGGGTTGCATCAGGGCCAGAACCCGAATCAGCCTGGAACCAGCCAAAACGTCAATCGATCCCCCCACCGGGGTGAGGGGACCTCGCAAGTACCGATTCCTCCCAGGGGTCAGGTTTCGCCTTGTGGGAGGAGAGGCGATCAGCACACACCCTTCAGTCTCGCAAGGAAATTTTAGAAACAAGTCTGGGGATAGTCAACTCAACAGGGCCAATCTGCCTTGGCACTCCCAGCAGGAAAATGATGGCTCGCGAGGAGATAATAACCAGCCCAAAGTTCGAGGTGCGAACTCGAGGCAGGACCCCTCCGTCCCTCGCGATAGGCAGTGCGAACCCCACAACCAAGAGAACCTAGCAAGAAGGAACCAGAATCTACCTCGTGATAATGTCCATAGTGATGCCGAAATACCAGACCAGACTGAAATCAGCAGTACCAATGTCAAGCCGGTGAAGAAGCAACAGCGGCTACGTCGTAAGACACGCCGCACCTCGTCCAAAAACAATCTGCCGACGAAGCCAGGCCAGCAAGCAGAGCAAGCCAAAGAAAAGGAAGAAGTGAGCTCAGTGGCTACGAAAGATTTCAAGGTGCCGAAAGATTTCAAGGTGCCCCCATTAGATGCCGAAAGATTTCAAGGTGCCTCCATTACTTTGTCGATCATCTCCTCTGTCTCCCGAGCTCTTGGCAACTCTGATGCCGAAAGATTTCAAGGTGCCCCCATTAGACAAGTATGACGAGTCGTTTGACCTCAACGATCATGTGGATTCCTTCCAGTCTCAGATGCACCTAGCTGGGGCTGACGAGTCCTACATGTGTGTGGCCTTCTCCACTGCGTTTAGGGGGGTAATCCAAACTTGGTATCGGAACCT